TTTTATTATTATTATTGTGAGAGGAGGAGTTGGTCTGGGACAGAGCTGCAGGGCAGTGTGTTTTCTGCCTGTCTTGGTGGTGTTTTCTGCCTGTCTCAGCATTTTCTGTTGGTCTCTGGCACATTGGAAGCACCAAAGCAAATTCCTGCAGGTTGTCTGGATCTCCCCTCATCTTTCTAAGTCCAGCTTTGGCAACACGAGGGTAAACCACTGCCCACTCTTCCCAGAAATGCTGCATGGGTTGGGAATATTCATCAAATCATTGGCAAAGCTGTTTTCTATCAACCCCCCTACATTTACCTGTGTAATTCCTGAGGGTTTTTTGTTATTGCAGTTGATGCCTTAACCCACAAAGAGGAAACCTCCCAACCCCTGTGCTGGGATCTCTCTGAGCCCCAAATGAGGGTCCTCCCCATTGCAGATTGTCCATGAGCAGACATGGTGCATGATGAGACTATTTACAAGCACTTAAAATAATACCAGTGATGCTAAAATATATGTTGAGATAATTTTATTTCCTCCCAAATTTGATACCTTAAGGAAGTACTCGGGTTAGTTTTGTAAACTTTTCTCGATACCCAGTGAGGGCTGGGACCTCCTCTGGTTTTTAAAGCAAAACTGAGAGGTTTTATCTACAACCACAGGCTTTAGCAAAATGCCAAGTGACACAGGACTCCTAATAATGACACAAGAGACAGCAATGTTGGCTACTAGTCCTCCCTTCTGTGGCTCGCCCTGGGTCTCTGTGAGCAGACGTGCCCTGGGAGACATCCTTCATCCCACCTCCTCTCTGCTCATGACATATCCAGTCACTGTCTGTCTTCCAAGGATTCATCCCACTATAACCAGTTGAGCATCTTGTAGCTCCTGGGAGCCTTTTTCAATAGCATGAGCTGACCCCAGTTCATTGGAAAACTCCCTTTAACACTGATGTGGATATAGGTTAATACCCCTTACGTGATATATGTTGGTAAAGTTAGAGTCTTGCAGTCCAGATCAGGCTAGATTTGGTCCAGAGGATTGATTTTCTTACAAGGGAAAGGTTCATTTTATATGGAGATAATTAACTGTTCTGATCTAGAGCCTCCCGTGAGCACGGTGGGTGCTGTAAATCATCATGGGACACAGGTAACTGCAGTGGGGGCTGAAACTCCTCCAGAGCTGTGCTGAGGCTGAGCCACACACTTACAACTCGGGATTTTAAAAAATGACAAAGATGTAGAAGCACTGAAACAACAGGAGTGAGCAGAACCCAAACCCAGCTGCAGTTCAGCACGGGACAAGTACTGGCATCAGCGATGGGTGTTAACTGATGGAGAACACCGTAAGGCAAACACAGTCCCGAGCAACAGCCAAGTTCTGCATCAAGATGTCCTTCTAGGTCAGATCTTGGCACTGTTGCAGACAAGGGTAATTCAAGATATTTGGAGACCTAACATGATCTTCCCTCAAGCCGTGAGAAGCACCTACAGGGACCTAAATGGCTTATGTTTCAAGAGATGGACTCCAGCAGAAGCTCATCGGGTGGCATGGCAGGGATTTCCACGCTGTTTATTCGGCCAAAGAACTTGGGAAGAGACCAAAACTTAAAGCGTGGGAGGTTTCTCTTCATACGAATGTCATGGCCGGTTTCGGTGACGGAAAGGCGGCTGCCATGGCGAGTGAACCGAGCTCGCAGGGCGGCACAGCTGTGGCGGAGCAGCTGGTCCTGGAACTCGGAGGTCATGAAGTAGTAGAGGACAGGATCCAGGCAGCAGTTGAGGCTGGCCAGGCAGAGGGAGATGGGGTGGAAGCGGAGCGTGCTCCGGTGAACGGCGCAGTCCTGGATGATGTTCTCTATCACCATCATGAAGAAAGGGAAGTTGATGTGGTAGGGGGTGAAGCAGATGAAGAAGACAGCCGCGCACATCAAGACCATGCGCAAAGCCTTCTGCTTCTCGCTGGTGTTCTGCAGCTGTGTTGGGCATTCCCGCAGGGACTGCCACATCTTCCAAGTGCAGCAGGCGATGATCCCGAAGGGGATGACAAACCCAAACAGCTCCGCCACTGTCACCAGTGCAATGGAGGCTCCTGGGCTCAGCTGCTTCACCCCCAGGTCTGAGAAGCAGGTGTTGGTGCTGTTGGACAAGGCTGGGCTCCTCACGACAAGCAGGGGTAAGCAGGCCGCCCCGACGAAGAGCCAGACGGCAGCGCTGATGGCTGCATCGTACCGCCGCTTCCAGTCCTTGGCTTTGAAGGGATGGAGCAGGAAGAGGTACCGCTGGATGCTGATGCAGGTGAGGAAGCAAATGCTGGCGTACATGTTGAGGTACTTCAGGTAGAAACACACCTGGCAAAGAAAACTCCCAAAGGGCCAAGTGTGGTTGATGTAGTAATACATCCGTAAGGGCAGTGAGAGGACATGAGCCAGGTCAGCCACGGCCAGGTTGATCATGAAGATGATGGCTTTGCTCTTCTTGCTGATGAAGCGGCACAAGACCCACAGGGCAGCACTGTTGGCCAGGAGGCCGGGGATGAATATGATGGTGTAAGTGGTTGCATACAGGGTGGACTGGAAGGACATCTGGGGACCAGTACAGTTCCCGGAGGACACATTGCTCTCCATCTCAGCTGAGTCTCTTCACTCATGGGGCGATGAAGGAGGGTGGAAGGTTTCTGTAGGGATTAAAAACAGATGCTGTAAAGACAAAAACTTCCCAGTATTTCTGGAAGTATTTTCTGGAGCCCCCAACACAAGAGAGACCTGGAGCAGCTGGGACAAGTCCAGAGGAGGCCACTAGGATGATGCGAGGGCTGGAGCAGCTCTGCTGTGAGGACAGGCTGAGAGAGTTGGGGCTGTTCAGCCTGGAGAAGAGAAGGCTCCAGGGAGATCTTATAGCAGCCTCCCAGTACCTGAAGGGGCTACAAGAAAGCTGGGGAAGGACTTTTCATAAGGGCAGTTAATGACAGAACAAGGGGAAATGGGTTTAAGCTGAAAGAGGGGAGGTTTAGATGAGATATTAGGAAGAAGTTCTTCACTGTGAGGGCGGTCAGACACTGGAATAGGTTGGCCAGAGAAGCTGTGGCTGCTCCTCCCTGGAAGTGTTCTCGGACAGGTTGGATGAGGCTTTGAGCAACCTGGTCTAGTGGAAGGTGTCCCTGCTGCTGGCGGGGGGGTTGGAACTGGATGAGCTTTAAGGTTCCTTCCAACCCAAACCATTCTATGATTCTATTTCCTCACGTGGAGCAACTGCCCTTCAGTACAGCAGAGTAAGTTACGTGTAGGTGTGTGTACAGTGTGTGTGCACGTGAAGCGGTGTGGATGTGTCGGGAAGGGTGCAGAGCCAGATCCCACTCACGGGCAGTGATCCTGGGAACCTTCCCCACAGCTCTGCAGGATCTCATACCCTGCCACCCCCGAAAGCGATGCCACAATGATGGTGACATTGCAGTTGAGCTCCGTGGCATCAGTAATCTCTTTATTGCTGATGCCAGAGAGCTGCTTCAGCTGCCTGAGGTTTTTCAGGACCATTTTTATTGCCCATCATTTTCTCTCAAACACCCATCAAATCAGTGCTCCCTGCTATGTCTACAAACAATTTTAGCAGGACTGTAAATAAATAGGGACTTGAAAAGGGTCTAGACATTGTCTTTTCAGATCCTTGCAGTGATCCGATGTGAATCAGCAGTGAGGGCAATAATTAGCATCAGCAAACGATGGTGCTGGCAGGTGGCCGAGCGGAGCAGAGGCCGGTGGGAGAGGTGCAGACAGATCTATCACAGCTCTGGCTCCATGTTTAAGGCTGGATTTAGAAGTTAATAGCCAGTCAAACACACGCCAGTTGCTCTGCTGGTCCCACTAACTCAATTCCGGCGCTCACGGCACATTGTGCAGGCATCGTGTTGTAGCAACAGAAATTATCCTCCAGCAACAGTTCAGGACATGAAGGAAGATAAATAGATCTGCCTTTTAGTTAGAGCAGAAACTCTTTTCATCCATTTATCTATTTTACCTCATCCAGCTGGTGCTCGGGGTATTAATATTAAGGTGTCACTCCAGGTACCTGATACTTTGAGTTTTAGGTGACAGGGTTTGTCAGGGCACCTGGTGAGGAAGCTGCAGGGAGCTCCACACCAAGCCACCGATCAGTGCTCATTCACTCCAACGCTTCCTGAAAGGCTGGATTTTTCCTTTTATTATTGTTTTTCAGTTTTTGCCTTGCCCCAAACCCCTCCAGCTTTCACATGTGTTACCATCCATCGTGCCGGTGTCGGGGCAGAGATGCTCCTGTGGGCTTTGGCAGGGTTTTTGTTCAGTGACTTTATAAAGACTGTATTAAATACTCCCTGCCATTCCTTAATTGTTTTCCTATTTTAGCCACACATGGATTTACCCACAGGCAGGAGCAGGGGGGGCTTTTTTGAAGTGGCAAAGCTGAGTTTTACCCAGCTGCACGCTGAAATTAGAGGGGAGACCCATATCACTGCTAGAGGAATAAAACCCCTGATTGTGGGTGTAGAACCACGATTCATTAAACACCAAGTAATTTTGCAATTCATTAAGGCATCGACTCAAACACTCCGTGTTTCTTCTCGGAGCGTGTGAGCAGGATGTGTTTCTGGAGGCGTATGTGGCTGTCGTTATTGGAAATCGCCTGGTTACTCTGAATCACCCTGCGCCCCACCCAGCCCTACATTGCTGCTGTGGTCTTGCATTTACTACTCCCAGATTCACTGGGAAACTCATCCTCATCTTTTCCATGGGTTGGTTGGACAAACTGGGCTAAAACTGAGCTCCTGGTGGAGCTGGGGAGAGCCCTGGGGCTGAGGGACTGGGGCAGAGGTGCTGCCCTTCAACCCTGTTTGAACCTGAGATGCTGGAGGGAA